TCTCACGCGACGTCGTGTTCGACCAGAAGGCGGCCTGGGACTGGAACAGTCCGAGCACGGGGGAAGCTGGCGGCTTCACCAGCACCTTCGTCGTCGAGCACTTGGTCATCCACGGTGGTGGAGATGCTGGGGAAGAGGTGCCGAGCACTTCAGAAGGGGTGCCGAGCACTCCAGCAATAGAGCCGAGCACTCATGGGGAGGTGCCGAGCACTCCAGAGTGGTGCCGGGAGGTCCTGCAGTGGTGGCAACCCATTGTATAAAGATTTGACAGAGAATTTTCCTTTTTTTTTCAAGGTTCCACATAACAGAATCAGGTCTATCACTAAACTGGAAAACAGACATGTCATTCATAATATTATACCAGCTAGTTCTAAGATAATCAAACAGCCATCTTCTAAATGTGATAGACACACCATTCCTGACTTGAGAAACTGTCACATACTTATTCTCACATAACTCAAAGAGAACTGGAGCAGTAATGCAAAGAGGTTCACTATACAACCAAATATCAAACCAAAAGCAGGTCTTTTCACCATTACCTATCTGCATATTCCTCCCCTGCAAATAAATATCTTTAACCTTAAGCAGGTCAGACCACATTGGTGAGTCATTCAGCCCGTGATTCACATCATAAATCGTTTTATCTCTCATGTATTTATATGTTACTATCTGTTGCCATAAACCCTCTTCTCTTTCAAGCTTCCACCACCACTTGCATAGCAAGCTTATATTCATTCTTTTCAAGTCTTTGATCCCCAGCCCCCCTTGCTTCTTACTCTTACAAAATTACTTCCCATTTAACCAAGTGATATTTTTCCTAGTGCTCCCACCTAAGGATGGAAACGGTCGGAAACGGTCGAAAACTCATAAATTATTTTCTATTTTTACATTTGAAATACGAAAACGAAAGCGAAAACGGTAAAGCCGACGAAAACAAACGCGAACTTACGAAATATCGAGAATTCTAAAAACGAACCAATTCGAGCGGATTTATGTCGAACACGGTCGATATACGAAAACTCAATACGAAATACCGACCCGTAGAGCCAAGTGCATGACTAAGTACATACATGATCAAGTTCCAGTGCATATAATAATTAACAAGTGCATGATCCTTGGTCTTAGGTATTTAGCACAATAGTCGACACATAAATACAAGTCTAGAATAAACAATTAGTAGCTAGCAGGATAATAGGAATTAAAATTAGATGTAGCAACTAGCATACCATTTTAGAATCTGAACTAAAATTAGATGTTATAGAAATATGAACTCGAACTGAATCAGGATAATTTTATTAATCTTTTTGGAATAGATGTAGGCTGCGTTAAATTTGACACCATACCCAGCTTGATCCGCTTCTTTTTTCATCTGGAACAGTATTTTTCTCTCACAAATTCATTCGTAAACAGCAACTTTTTCCGTCGCTACAGTGATTTTCGTGTCAGCCGAACGCAGCAGTAGTATTTTATTTTAAAGATTTATTCAAATTTTTCTTTTGAGTAACAAAGATTTATTCGGCTGAGGCAAAAACTATCAAATGATTGACTTTGCAGGTGAGGGTTAAACCGACGAGCTTGATGGGCTATGTCCCAGGTGGGCTTTCGTGTAGATGCTGCTGGCTTCCTGCCATTTAGCACCACCTCGTGAGGTGAAGGGAGATGAGGCTGGACGCCGTCTATAAGAGAGGGCAGCTAGCCACCAGTAGAAAGAACGCAGCTGCGTGGTGAGTAGCCTGTAATTGGGCTGTATGACCTGTGCAGTTGGCCAATTTTGAATTCGGAATATTTCAAATTAAAAGTAGAAAAGTAGAAAACGGTCGAAAAATGTGTAAACCGTTTTCTACTTTTACATTTGAAATACGAAACATCTCAAATGCGAAAAGCGAAAACGGTAAAGTCGGACAAGAAAATGCGGATTCGATCAGATTAAATATAGAAAACGATGCGGTTCGGTTCGGGATATTTCCGTTCCGTTTTCATCCTTACTCCCACCTTGCCAGATCAAAGTTCTTCTGATTTGATCTAACTTTTTCAATGTGGTTTTGGGCAGTAAGTAGACTGACGTGATAAATTGGTGAGTTGTTTAAACTTGAGCTTATCAAAGTCGATCTGCCAGCGATAGATAAAGTGCTCCCCTTCCAACCATCTAATCTTTTGAGACTTTTCTCCACTAAAGGTACCCAATCACATACTTTAAGCCTGCTAGGACTAACTGGTACCCCTAAGTATTTGATGGGAAAAAGCCCAACTTGGCAATTGAAAATTTCAGCATAAGTTTGACCCCACACCCCCTCATCATTCACCATATAAATCTCACTTTTGTTAAAGTTTATTTTCAACCCAGCAAGCATTTCAAAAAGATATAGTAAGAGTTTCATATGAACTGCACCATCCAAATCATGTTTCAAGAAAACTATAGTATCATCAGCATACTGCAAAATTGCAACCCCATTTGGGATTATATGACTAATCAGTCCAATGATAAGCCCATTACCCTGTGCTTTATTAACCATTCTAGTCAAACAGTCAGCCACAAAATTAAACAGAATTGGTGACAAAGGGTCACCTTGTCTCACCCCTTTATGACTTTTTATGTACTTGCCAATCTTATTGTTCATTTTAACATAGACAATAGCCCCAGTAACCACTTGTTTAATCCAATCACACCACAATTTATCAAAACACCTTTTCTGTAAGCATGCAAACAGAAGTTTCTAATTCACCTTGTCATATGCTTTTTCAAAATCTAACTTCAAAATGACCCCTACTTCTTTTTGTTTCATGCAAAATTTCATGTAAGCACATTATTCCTGACATGATATTCCTATTTTTCATGAAAGCTGTTTGAGTATTATGAATCAGCTTATCAGCTGCAAGTTCCAATCTCAAAGTCAGAGTTTTTGTGATAAGCTTAAACAGATAGGTCTAAACTGCTGGATCTTACAAGCATCTTTTACTTTTGGCAGAAGAGTAATGATGCCATAGTTGATTCTACTGATATCCACTTTCTATTCATAAAAGTCACTTTTAATTGAATTATGTCACCTTTAATGATATCCCAACAGCCTTGGTAAAATTCAATAGGTATTCTATCAGGCCCTGCTGCCTTGTTTTTTTCCATGAGCCATAAAGCATCCTTAATTTCTTCCTCAGAAAAAGGTCTACACAAAAGTCTATTATCAGCTTCATTAACTTTGGGAGCATCATCCCATAGATCAGGGTCAATTTGCACCTCATACTCGGCTAGCAATCTATGAAGACTTGGGAGACAAAGATGACAGCTTTATTTTATCACCGAAATCATCCTAAATAAATGTTCTTTGCTTAGAAAATTATAGTTTCATTAAATTCTCGTCATTTTCTTGTTTAGGATAAAGGGCTCATTGGTAAAAGAAGAGCTATGATGAAGTCACAGGCAAATATGGCATTCAGGCACAGAAGGAGTATGCCCATGGCAATAAAGTTCTATAGTGTGGTAATTCTTTGCTCCTTAGACCTTAGATATGATGATTTAGAAGGAAACGCTACATTGCTTGCTAACTAGATTTGTTCTCTAATTTCCGTCTGTTAAAGAACATGCCGTGTCCAGGTGGTAATTCAATAGTGAAAATGATGCTCTGAATCCAGGTGGTAATTCAATAGTGAAAATGCTCTGAATTGAAAGTCAATGTAGGGAAAATTGGGAGTGTTATATTGCTCTGTCAAGCTTGGATTAGGAGACCAGAACTTATGTTAGCAATAACATAGCTTACTTTTCTCTGAAAAAAGAGCATAACTTACTTTCCACCACCCTTTTGTATATATACATATCTGTTGTGATGCTCAAAGTCTGTTGTGTACACGTTATTATTGTTAGCATCTAGTTTCTATTTATTTCCATTTGAAGCTTGAAAGATATAAATGTGTGTAACATATATCATGGTTGATCATAGGTGATAGATGTTTCCCCAGAGCCAGACGCAACGCTGTATTCCAAAAGGAGCCTCTGTAAACTGAAGTTGGGTGACGGTGAAGGTGTTCTGTTAGATGCTTACCAGTGCAGGAGGATGCGGCCTGATTGGGCAAAAGCTTGCTATCGGGATTGGCAGGCTGCAGGTCATATGCTACTCAAGGTGAGATACACTCCTCAGATTGCCAATCTATTGGTTTGTGAAACTAGCTGATGTGTGGTTATGGTATGCCTCATGTGCCTGGTTGTGCTACGTGCAGGAGTATAAGCAAGCACATGATGCTCTCTTGGACGCTCAGAAATTGGATCCCGGGAGCGATGAGATTGAGAGAGAGCTAAGGTAACATGCTACACTACCTTTTTGTTTCTGTCTCCCCAAAATGGTAGCATGCATACATTACTGATGGGGTATATACTCGTGATGATAATAATCACAAGCGCCTGCATATAGACCTTTTTTTTTCTCTCGAATACGTAAAAGATTTGCGTATCATTATAATTAAGAAGAAGAAGAGTTTAACCATACATACGACACGCTTCTTATGAGCGCTCTAGGAGGTCTTACAGTTGTGACTGGACCATCGCCTGCATATAGACCTGCGACACGAGCTGACCCCAATCGAACAATGGTTTTCTTTTCTATATCTGTGCGTGCAAATACCATGACTGGCTGATTTGTGTGATTACGATTGAGGAGCTGACATTTGCATTTGACATTTACAGGAAGGCCCTATAGCTGATGAAGATCTCCCCCGACGGAGATGAGCAGTGAAGCATGGTGTACGTGTGCAGTGTGCTGGTTGCTGCGGAGTAGCAATCAGCTGGTTATGGACTCCGGAGTTGTTATTAGGATTATTGTACAGCTAGCTGTACAATAGACAATACGCTAGCTGTACAATAATCCTAATAGTTGTCATAGTAGATTAGGGAAAAAGCATTAGACTACCATTTTGAAAGACGTTTAGGAGCTTCTCTTCTCCATCTCCATTCTCCAAATCCCCTTCCCCTCACCGCTGTGTTGTGCTTGTTGTGCTTCCATCACCAAACCCAAATGGCAGCCACCGATCGCGCATCCGCCACCTCCACCTACGACTCCATCCACCCCCATCCGGGCGGTATCCTCCTCGACGATAAGGTGCATGTCATCGCCGGCAACAACGCCACCACCGCCAGAGCCTCTTCTCTTCGCGGCCACGCCGTTGATGTCACCCTAGACATTGCTGACCCGTCCGAACCATTGCCGGTTGCCATCGTCCGCATCCATTGCCCTGACCCCTCCACTCGGCTCCGCAGCAACCCCCGAGTGGTTAGCGTGGAGGGCCTGCTCCTCCTCATCAGTGTCCGCTTCGAGTTGGAGTACGAGCTCTTCCTCTATGACTACGAGGTTCCGCATCTCCTCTCCATTCCGGCCCCGCCCTCGACCATCAAGCATGTCAAGTGCTTCGCCGTACTTCCCCGTGGTGGCCAGGCCAGAGGGCTTCTCGTGGCTGCCATCGACTACGTCAGTAACAGCTTCGAACAGAGGATGCCTGCATCGTCTTCTCCACGGAGGATGGCTCCTAGGCCACCCATAGCCAATCCGCCGTGGCATACCTCTTTCCTCTCCAGGGTTACACCTGACAAGGCCATCACAGTGGGGGAGAAGAAAACGTTGTGGGCTGACTTGGATCAAGGGGTGATACTGCTGTCCGACTTCTCCAATGACCTACCTGTTTTGCAATACATCCCTGTCCCTTCTGCCGGAGCTGATCCCAAGCTCGAGAAACCAATCAGCCTCACATTCTCAGTCGGCATGTGCAGAGATGTGACCTTCGCTGACGGTGTCATCAAGTTCGTTGAGATTGAGAACCGTGTGGCTTTTACATACCACCCGCAGCATGCTACCGAGGTTTCTATGGTAAAAGAAGCACATCTAATCTCCAGCAAGAAGCCCTCCTTTCCAGAGCCGACCTGGTCTGCTCTGTAAATGCGTGGAGGCTTGTGACGTGGTTGCGGATCATCGCTGCAAGGCCTGGTACAGCAGGCTGTTCGTGGATATTGATTATATTGACTATACTGCTCAGTCTACAGAGGGATTCACCTATCTGAAAATGCACTGCCATCTCCCAGCAATTGGGCATCGACGGCGATGATGATACAATCTACTTCAAAACCATGCACAAGTTTGGCGACCAGACTAGATATCTGGTTTTTGTTGACATGCGTAACAAGGCACTAAAAGCATCAGCTCCTCTTCCTTCCCCCATGGACCGAGATTATCGTACACGTCCTATCGCCAAGATCCACTTTGGCCCCAAGTAATTATATTTCTTCGTTCATTCTGAACATGATTGTTATTTGTGCGTTGCTTGCAAATTTGTTTTTGTGCATTATATCTTTGTGAATGAATGCATGTTTATCTACTCAATGCTTTTCAACTGTGTGAGTATTGCTGAATCCTGTCCCGCCTGTTTAGTACATAGCTTAGGTAATTATTTATTTTTTCAAGTTGATGTGCTAAAAAACATATTCTTGCTGATGATGCAGCTATCTTGAATACCCTGTGTATGATTATGATTATGATTATGACATTGCATAGTAATAAAACATTAGTTACATTGGTTCAAGGTTTTAAATAGCTCGCTATAACTCCGCTATAGTTTCTCTATAGCCTTTGTGAGGGTAAACTTCGCTAAGCATTGCTACTTAGTTTAACTGCGATATATTTTTAGCACCCTAATCCTGACCAAGGCAGTTCTTTAATCTATAGAACTATAATCTATGTCTCTCCCTTTAGGTTCTTTACTTAATAAATGATGTAATAAACCATTAAATAATTATTGAACCGTTGATTATTGAGTTTTGATCACAACAGTATGTTGATCATTATGATGAATGTTAAATAATGTGTTGGAATTGATGGTTCCGAACATGACAGAGAGAGAGGGAGGAGAGAGCTCAATAGTGGTGAGGGACGCACTAGGGTTTTGAACAAGTGGAAATGAGTGGGAGGTGATGTTCCTTGCCCTCAAGCCCTTGGGCACTTATATAGGCAATGACTACTTACAAGTGGCCCCTCGGTGGGGTTGGATTTCACATGACACTATGCTAGCTGCTAGTTGGGCCTCTTCTTGGGGGAGATTTGGCCCATATATTTCATGGGCTCCCACAACAGTAGTCCCTCAACTATTGGGTTATGGATGGTAAAATATGTCCTAATAGATGCTCGTACTAGACGAGGTACAAATAGAACTCGAACCCTGGTCATGAGGAATGCCCTTCGCAACCTATGTGTATGCGCCTCACTAAAAACTCCATCCCAAAAACCCCATGAAAAAGGGCATGGAGAAAAGAGCACGCACATGACTCTACTCTATACTAGTGCTAACACAGGAAGCTACTAACTCCAAGTGCCTCGATGTCGATCTCCATGGTATCTTCATATTTGGGCTTTGACTTCCTTGACCGCTTCTATGGCATGGGTTCTTAACTTCGCTTGACACGCATGTCTTTGCCTCTAGGAGCTTCTCAATGTGCAGTTCTTTCCTCTGGGACCTTCATGTTGTGTAGATCTTCACTCTAGTCTAGACCTTCTCTGTGTGCAGATCTTCGCCTTTGGACCTTCTCGTCTGAGACTTCATGTGGAGACACACCTTCACTTCATGAATGGGTGTAGTTGTCGTAGTTGATGTACTCAAAGTAGTCACAGCTAAAGGTTGCCGTGAAGCCTCCAAATCATCTCTCATGAGCGTTGAGCAAAAGACTTCACCCTCTAGAGTGTCAGGTCCTCTAGTATGCTCCCCTAGCTCCTCTTGGTTGTCGCTTGTGACTGAATATTCAGTTGTGCATGTTGTAGTTGACTTAGTTAGCTATAGTATCATAAGTAGATGTCTAGACTGAAGTTGTTGGTGAGCCCCTCGAGCCAAAGTGGTCGAGGAAGGTGAAGTAGACCTTAGTGCCGAACGAGTTGATGTAGCCCCTCAAACTAGGCGTTGAAGGCATGTCTTCGTAAACGTTGATGCCAAAGGTGTCGACAAAGGCTCTCAAGCCTTTGTAGTGGCTAAAGATGATAGTGAAGCCCCTTCTGCTGATGTGTTGGTGAAGACAAGTCATCGTAGCCACCAAAGATGATGTTGGAAAAGCCCCTCATGCTGAAGTGTTGGCAGAGGTGAGTCATTCTGAATGCTGAAGAAGTTGGTGAAGGCCCTCGTGCCGAAGGTGTTGACTAAAGGCATTGTTGGTGTAGATGTTGAAGATATCAACGAAGCCCCTTGTGCTAAAGTTTTGGTGGAGGCAAGTTGTTGTATTCACCGAAGTGACGAAGATATGTATTACTGGTGTTGACACTAGAGATGTTGGAGAATCCCCTCTAGCTATTAGCGTCGAAGGTTTGTCATTGCAGTCTTCGAAGATGATGGTGAGGCCCCTCGCGTGAAAGTGTTGGCATGGGTGATTCATTGCAGTCACTGAAGTGTTGGTGAAGTGTCTCCTACTAAAGTGTTTGCCAGGAGTAATGTTGGGAGAGCCCATGAGGTATATGAGCCAAGTCTCCCCGTAGAAGAGACCCAACTAGTAGCTAGGCTGTTGTCGGTGTTTTCGGACCACCGACGAGTAAATTTGTATTTGCGTGTCTGGCTCGGATGGTGTGCTTAGAGGACACGAGGTTTATACTAGTTTGGGCAGAAAGTCCCTACGTCTAGTTTGTCATTGCTGTTCATGTTACTAGCACTAAAAGTTTATAGTAGGGGTTACAAACAGGCGAGAGAGGGAGAAGATCCCAAGTCTTTGGTGAAAGGAATGAACGGGTGCTGAGAGCTCGATCACTGTTTAGCTGTGTGCTCGTGTCGTGCTCTTGTGTTTTTATCTCATGGTTCGGTCTTGTGCAGATCTGGATCGATTGGGTCCCCTTCATGGGGCACCCTACTTTTCCTTTTATAGGCCAAGGGAAAGCGTGGGTTACAGTGGAGGAAAAGGAGAAGAACCAGAGAGAGGAAGGCTTCTAGGATCGTCGGGTCCTTCTTCTCCTTCGTGATGGTCCCATCAATCCTATAGATGTCAACAGGGATGGCTCCACATCATGGCCTTGTCCGTCACTGGCGCCATGCGCAGGCATCATCTGTCGGTCATGGCATTCCATCCCGTCCCGGTGGATATCGTGGTGAACTGACACGCCTATCAGCGTTCTTAAGAGGGTTAGGTAGGACAACACTGGTATGCCCGACACTGTTCTTGATGTGAATCCTCAGGTGTGGCCCATTATGGCCTCGGGTTACATCGAGTCATGCCTGTCTCTTCCCTGGTGTCAGAGTTTTGACCCAGGCCCATACGCCTGGACCTAGAGTGGTTGGCGGCGATATGGGTCTCCGTCGGGCGAGATGGAGCCCGTAACCCTTCGGGGTCAGGCAAGACGGAGCCTACGACCCTTGGGGTCGGGTGAGATGGAGCCTGCGACCTTGGGGTCAGGCGAGACGGAGCCCATGGCCTTAAGGTTGGGCGAGGTGGAGCCCACAGCGTTGGGGTCGGGCGAGGCAGAGCCCGCCCCCAGAGGTCGGGCGAGGTGGAGCCCATGCACCTAGGGTCGGTTGGAGCTGTAGTCGCGCTCTTGACTGCTCAGATGAATCAATGTTGATGACCATTGGCTCCTCCTCTTTGAGTACCCTAGTATTGGTCCCCGATAGTAGCCTCCGAGCCTACGGCGGAGTAGAATACTCCTTTAGAGGCTTTTCCGAATGGGATGACTCTGAGGGCCTTGGCCTTCTTTTGTCGCCCATGGCGTGTCCTAGGGACGACGATTCCCTTTCATTGTGATCGGACCCTTTGGGGGTATAGCTGTGAGATTTGGTGGGTTGGAAAAGGTCTTTCCTGATTCCGACCCCTTTGGGGGTCTGTCATTCTGCAACCGCACGTTCGGTCTCCTTATGAGTCCAACTTTCCTCGAGCCCCTGCCCGTAGCAGGGGTCTGGTCGAGGGTCGGCTCGTCTTTGTGATCGTCTTCCCTCAAGCGTTTTTCCGATAAAAGTGGAGGGGCTGAGCGGTGCCATGATTTTCCTCTATGGACGAATCATGGTGCTCGGTGAGCTATTAACGGCTATCCGAGTGGGGCTCCAGCATCCCATTCATGGGGGTCTGGCTCGGGTCAGCTGGTGATGGACTCTAGATTTTTAGCGGTCAATTGATATAGTTCTCGGGTACGTTCGATCGGTCCCGATGGCTCTCTCGCTTTCTTTGAGGAAAAACCATGGATCATATCTGGCCGAGACTCGAGCGTGGGCTAAGATGCCTATGGTGCTCGTGCGCCCGGGTACTGGCCACTAGCGGGCCCATTCCTTTGCACCCCTCACTCTAAAGGTGCCTGGAGCGGTTGTCAAACCCGTCGGTGGGCCCACCTTCAAACTTCTGGGCCTAGATGGGGGCGTAGGAGCATTTTCAGCTCTGTATCCCTCTTACCTGTGACAGGTTGTGGCCCGTTCGGGGAGGCAAAACGTCTGGCATGTTTTTTGAGGGGACATCCATAGGTTGCATGCGTATGCCCCACGACGAAACATGGTGACAGGTCATGGCAGACGCAGAGATCTAGGCGGGCGGTTGGTTTCCTCGCACCCGTTGCCCCTATAAAACCGAAGGGTTAGCCGTCCATGTTTCATACGCACGCATGCCTACATCCTTACCTCTGCAGCCATGCCATCGCCACCAACTCTTAGGTTTTATGCATCCGCATCTCTACCACCGTTGAGCTCGCATCCATCTGCCGCACCTCCAATGGATCTGTGGTGCCATTCCGACATCACCTTCCTGTGCATGGAGGGCCTTGTCCGTCACGGTCTTCTCCATGTGCGGACCTCAACCAAGGAGTGGTTGCTGCCCAGCAACGAGGATCCACCATCGCCACCCGATGGCTACGTGGTGTCGTTCACCCACTTCCATGAGCGTGGGCTCGCGACCCCCCGCCCACAAATTCCTTCGGGGGCTGCTGCACTTCTACAAGAT